GTCGTTTATCGTCTTTCCCGACCGCTTTTGGTATCGCGTGTTCGAGACTTCGCCGGGGGCGCTGCGCGCGTTCGGGCTCGACGAGGCGGGGGCGGTCTTCACGGCCGCCGGCTTCACCTTCGAGGCGGCGGCGGCCGTCCCGTGCGGCGACGCCGTCTCCGGGGCCTCGCTGCTGCTGGACACGACAGCCGAGGCCTGCCGGTGGTACGGCGACTTCGAGTACGGCGATGTTGTCCTCCTCGGGGGGGAAACGGACGGCCGCGAGGGGGAAACCCCCGCCGTGATCGTCGGCGTGGACACGACGCCCGGGGAGGGGGCGGGGATGCTCTACGCCATGCCCGCCGACCCCGCGGTCTACGCGCGGCGGGGGCTGCTGCCGCTGGGCACGGACTGCGTGGCGGTCCGGCGGGCCGCCCGCCCGGGCTTCGCCAAGCGCCTCGTGCCCTTCCTCGACGGCGCCGGGGGAGGGAAGCGGACGATGCCGACGGAGGCCCTCGGGCAGGTCGTCGGCGTGCGGGGCGGCGAGTTGTACGTCCAATGGCGGCTCTTGCGGGGCGGCGCGAGCGCGCTCGACCGCAGCGTGGCGGTGAATTTGGGCCCGCCGGAGCGCGTCCGGGCGCTGTTCCGGCTGCGCCCCCAGGGCGTGGAGGCGCTGGTGGAGCCCGGGTCCTGGCGGACGCCCTTCCGCAACGACCCCGCGGCGCAGCGGCTTCGCGCGCTGGAGGCGGCGCCCTTCACGCGCGAGCGCTGGGCCTCGCTGATCCCCGGGAAGTTCACGCCGACGGTGAAGCGCTTCGGCTACGCCCCGCACACGACGCAGGAGGACTTCGAGACGGCGGAGTACAAGGACCGCCTGCTCGCGCGGCAGTTCTTTCACAACCCCCAGGCCTTCGAGGTCCTCCCCGAGCGGCGGGAGCGCGCCGTGCGGTTTGGCGGGAAGTGGGAGGCCCTCCGCTCGCACGGCCTCCCCGGCGTCGACCGCGCGGAGCTGGAGGGGGGCTGGGGCGCGCCCGACGCCATCGCCGACGACGCGATGCGCGTGGTGGAGCAGGCCCTGCGGGACGTCAGCGGGCGGCGCCCGGGGAACCTGCACAAATCCCCCGCCGAGACCGACGCCTTCCGCCTCCACGAGCCGTGGTGGGTCCCGCTCCGCGCCGCGGCGGGGGGCCGGGGTCCGGCGAC